CAGGGATCCAGTTACAGGTGAGGGGCTGAAGACAGGGGCGCAGCCTGGGGGCCAGAGAGACCGAGCCGGAGACAGAGAAGGGGTGGGGGGGGGAAGGGGCAGGGCGCCCCAAGGGCTCCGTGAAGGCACTCACTGCCGGGACATCTGGGAGGAGTTCTGACCGCGGTGCCAGCAGGGACCCCGCAGTTAAGTCTGGAAACCGGATGATCAGGGCCAGACCTTCTTGGATCCGAGTTTGCACCAGTCACGCTGGCGCCCAGAACTGGGCTGTTGGTGCAGAAAACCTCTGTGAACAGCTTTGAGAAGCAGCAAGCATGCGCACGCGTGCGTCTGTATACGCACACCCGTACCTGTCCACCTCCCTATGACAGTTGTTTTCAGAAACGTCTGTGAAGGATGGAGAAGCTAAGCCAGGGTACAAAGTGGAGCGGCAGGACGAGGTAGCTCACGGCAGCCTTCTCCCCTTGGTTTGGGCGAACACGGAGACTTTTGGTGCAAAATCTGATGTGGGTTCTAGGCATCTCAGTGAACATGCAGTTAACAAAACTGAGATCATAGCTATAAAACTTATGGTGCATAAAACAAGCTGCAAGGATGTGGTGTCCAGCACGGGGAAAACAGCCAATATTTTATAATCACTATCAGCAGGGTATAACCCTTAAACATGGTGAATCGCGACGTTGTACACCTGTAACTTGTACAGCAACTACACCTCAACTAAAAAAAAAAAACTGGGATCATGGCATGTGTGCGCTCTGGTTTCTATCAATTTTTATGTTTTTCAAAGTAATACGTACACAGAGTTAACTCAACTGGCTCCAAGAGACTTCTATTAAGGAGGTCACTTATCTGTGACCCCACTGTCCCCAGGGTGCAGGCAACCTGAAGTCCCAGCTATGGCTCCCTGAAGTCCCAGCCATGGCTCCCAGTGCCTGCCGATTTCTGAGCTCTAGGTAGTCCGTCCACGGCCAGTTTCAAGTGGCCAGCTTGGCCTGAGTGGGCGGACAGGACTCCCGAAACTTTCACAAGAGGTTCCTGCCGGCAGGTCAGAGCTACCACACCCCCGTGCTCAGCCCCGCCCCTGAATCCTTCACAGTGTAAATGCTACTTAGAACCAACTGTCCCCGTAAACTGACTACAACTCAATAAAATAACAAGGAAGGAAGGAAGGAAGGAAGCAAAGAAGGAAGAAAGGTGGGTGAGCGTCCGGCTCTCACACATCTCCCCCGGACCCTGCCCCACCCCCAGGAAAAACAGTTCTGTAACTCCTCCCTCCTGAACTGTGTTATGTCCACTGTGCTGAGCTCTGTTCTGGAGCTGCGGACACAGCAGGGAGCAAACAGAACCTGCCCTCCGGGGGCCACCTTCTCGGGGAGGGTAGCCCAGATGTCCAGGTGACGTTGCCATGACCACGTGAAAACCTGGGGTGGCCAGAACAAAACCTTAAAACCACACAAATCCATCCGGGAGTCTGAGAGCGGGGGGACGCCCCCGAGAGTTGGCAAGGGGGACGGGCTTTCCTCTGGGAGCTGGGAGGACACAGAACAGGGGGCACGTGGATGCTGTGGGCGAAGACACAGGAAAGGGGGCGGCAGAGGAAACGTCCCCCTGCGCCCCCCGCCCGGGCCTGTGCCCGAGCTGGCAGCCGTGGGCACCCGGGACGGAGATGCCTGGTCCAGCCTGTGGGTGCCCAGAGCCCCGGGGAGGGGCCACCATGACGCTGAACCACACAAGTCCTGGGAGGCGGGAGCCCGGGACATCCACCGCAGGGTCAGTTCCTGGAAAGACCCCCCTCCCAGCCCCTGGGATGGACTTTACCCTTGCTCTGGTGTTTGTCCAAAATAGGAGGCCAAGGATGGGGGTCGTCTCCTCAAGAGACAGAAAATGGGGGCGGCACTGAAGATGACCCCAGGACCGCTACTCGGCTCAAGGTTCATAACCGCCCAGAAGAGCCAGCGGGGGCGCCTTGGGAAACGCGTGGCCCGCAGGACACACGTGCGTTCTGCTGCGGGGACGCGGGAGCCTGGGGAGGGGCCCAGTGACCCACATCAGCCCCGAGCGCCGTGGACACGGCCAGGGGACACGGCGCAGACGGAAACTGTCCGAGAGGTAGAGCCTGAGCCCAGCGGGGACGCGGGGAGGGACACGGCCCCGCGGGGCCCTTCCAGGAGGACGCAGTGGAGCCTGAGGCCCCAGATGTGGTCGCTGAAAAGTTCAGAAACACTTTCCTCCACCCCAGAACGCAGTCGTCCCCTGGGCGACGGGGAACTATGCACGGAGGCGGGCTGGGTGGACAGCGTGGGTTAGTCTTCGGAGAAAAGTTTACTCTTTTCTTAAAAGTCAAGAAACTCTCTTTATGTGATTAAAAAAAAAGGTAAATGACGTGGTCTCACCTGGTTCGCAGCAGCTGGAGATCCGGGTCAGTAGGTGGTGGACCCTGTCGTCCGGCCAGTCGTGCAGGACTCTGGAAAGGACGTACAGCTGTGCTCTCGGGAGGGCGTCTGTGAAAAAGTCGCCTGGTTCGAAAAGAAACGGGATTGAACCAACCGTCAGGGACAGAAGCACTGGTCCTCCATCTCCAGAAAGAGACACTGCCTGCCGTGGGGAACCTCGTGTCCCCCAAAACTCACGCCCACCTGAAACCTCAGAACAGGACCTTATCTGCAAACAGGGTGTCCGCAGATGGGATGAAGTGAAGGACCTGAGAGACAGTCCTCCGGGAGGAGGTGGCCCTGCATCCAAGGACAGTGTCCTCAGAAGAGGAGAGAGACAGACACAGAGGAGAAGGCACGTGGAGACGGAGGCAGAGACGGGAGGGAGGCGGCCACCAGCCCAGGGATGGACGCCCGGAGCTCCCAGAAGCTGGAAGAGGCAGGAGGGACCCTCCCCTGGAGCCTCGGGAGGGAGAGTGGCCCTGGGACACCTTGACCTCAGACGTCTGGTCTCCAGGACCGGGGAGGGTGGATGCCTGTGGTTTTAAGCTCCCCCGTTTGGGGGGTCAGTTGCTCCAGCCGCCCCCTCCTCACCCCCGGACACTCAGACATCTGCCAAATGCTCATCTGCTGTTTGTCACTCCCACCCCCATGCTTCATTCCACAAAGGATGAGCCGTAGCTCGCGGACACACACACAGAACAAAGCAAAGAAGGACAGCGTTGCAAACTGGCGTGAAGGGAGAGTTTACACGGGGTTGCAGACAAGTCCCCAGGCGGCGGTCCTGACTGCGTGGAGAACGGGGCCACAGTGCCCTGGCTTTGTTTCCTGCTTCGGTGTCTGTTTTCCTATATACGGTGAGTCAACAGCGCGGTGGCTTCCATCAAGCCGCGCCTAGATTTGAAGCTTTAGGATGTGTCTCCGTCAGCTCGGGGGGGCTGCAAGAAAATCCCACAGACTTGGGGAGGTGGCGGTTCAACTGTGTCTCCCAGTCTGGAGGCTGGACGTCCAAGATCAAGGTGTCAGAAGGGTCAGTTCGTGGTGAGAACTCTCTTCCTGGCTTGTAGAGGGTGGCTGACTTGTGGTGTCCTCACAGCAGGGGGACAGAAAGACAGAGAGAGAGAGAGACACACATAGATAAGATGGATGAGTGGATGGATGGACTGATAGACTGATGATAGATTGATTAGATGGATGGATGGATAGAAAGATAGATACATAGATAGATAGAACAGATAAATGTGTGGACGGATAGACAGATGATTAGATGGTAGATACAGATGACTGAGGTAATTGATAGATCGGTAGATAGACAGATAATAGATAAATGACAGCTAGACAGATGTCCCTGACGTCTCGTCTCCTAAGGACACAGTCTTACTGGCGTAGGACTCCACCCTCATGACTTCCTTCACCCTTAATTACCTCCAGATAGACTCACACTGCAGGGGGGTGGGGCTTCAACATATGAATCTGGGGACACAATTCAGTGCGCAGCAGGCTGACTGGCTCTTTTCTAAACTAGACCAGTATCAAGAAGTCGTGGGGTAGAGGTTCCACGAGCACATCCCTCCTCGGGCCAGGCTGCAGTGCGCATGAGTCACAGGAAGCCAAGTTTCCTTTCAATCCGGTCCTGCCGGGAAGTCCTTTCTCACGTCTACCCCAAGGCCCTCCTGCTGTAGCTCCCCTGTCACTGGCTGCTGTGGCCTCAGTCAGTGGTTAGACACCTGCCGACGCCAGTGCCATCCCCACCTGCCCTCCCGCCCGGCCACTCCCCACCCAGATAACCTCAAACTCCTGTTCTTGGGATTTGGAGATGTGCACCTGTGTGTGTGCAGACGTGCACGGACACGCAGACACACAGACACACGCACAAACAGATACATACAGATACAGAGGCACACACACACGCTCTGAACAAGCAATAAGTAAGGTCACCCAAGCGCTGACACCCAGCCGACGCAGAGCTGTGCTGACCTGGCACGAAGCGGATGTGCTCCGTCCGCTGTCCGTCGGGCTGAAAGGCCCTGGCGTGCTCAATGATGTCCGGGAGGTCGAACACGGTCACCTGCAGACGCGGGTACTCCCGGGCAAGCTCGTGGGCCAGGGCGCCCGTGCAGCCTGTGGGAAGCAAACGTGGACTCTGGACCCTGCCGGTGTGTACAAAAGCCTTGGTGGGTCTCCAAAGTTCAGCTCTGGCTAAACGAGAATGATGCTCCAGGACACGGCCCGAGGCCTGTGCCGTGAAGTCAACTCAGCTGGTGGGGAGATCACTGGTGTCTCCAAGTCAGGGCCGCGTGAGCTGGTGTCAGAGCTGGTGCTGGCCCAGAGCACAGGAGTGGGGTGGATGCAGACTCCCCGAGGAATCCTTACAGCAAAGCTCTGGGGGAGCTGTACTCTTCCCTTCTCCTTTCTGCTGCATGAATACAGACGTGATGGCTGGTGCCACAGCAGCCAGTCAGGACCACCAGGAGGAACAGAGGGCAGAGGATGGGGAAATGCATGCTGGCAGCTCAGTCATCCTAGGACCCCAGTGCCACTACACACCCTGGGCAGGCGTCTGCTCCTCCTTTGTCCTGGGGTGAGGACTGGCTGAGATGAGGTAGAGGGTGTGTGTGGCCTAATCAGATCTGATGAGATGGGGCACATGGGCCCGTCCCCTACCAGGCAGCCACCAGAACGGGTCCTGTAACCTCTACTGGGGTCCTGGCCTTCCCAGGACCTCCTAGCACTTGGGAACACCTGCTCAAGCCCCTGAGCCCACTCTAGACAAATACGGGTCATCAGGCAGTTTGCAGAGATAAACCCATTGTGCAAGTCTTATCAGCAGGTAAGGTGCCGGCAGCTTAACAGGAAAAGACACGCATGGAGGTGCTTCTAGCTGACTCCCGACGGGGCTGAACTCACCTCCCAGGTCGCAGGCGGAGGTGAATCGGGACAGGTCGAAGGCCGTGGCCACGTCACGTGCGGTCAGCTTGCTGAGGCCGTGCATGGCCCTCATGAACAGCAGTGTCGTCTCCGCGCTCTGCTGGTGGGATTCCCAAAACGGGACAGGGTCTGAGGAGAGCCACGGGGGGCCCAGGCGGCCCTGCACCCCGGGTGAGGAGCCACCCGGCGCCGCGGCGGGTGGGGGCTCGGCAGGGGTCGCGGGGTGGGTGGCAACAGAGCAGGGGAATGACGTGGGACCAGACAGACGTGGTGGTTGTAAAACGCTGTGAAAATGTCCTCAGTGCTCTTGAACTGTACACCTTAAAGGGGTTCACAATGGTAAATTTTAAGTTACGTGAATTTTACGCTGATTAAAAAAAAGTGTCTCTTATATATATGTTATTTACATATATATGTATATACACAATCACCCACTTGAAAAAGGAAAAAAAGCCTCTTGAAGAAGTGTAAGTGTGTGTGTCTTAAAATGATGTATGTTGTGTGTGGCCCGAGGGTCTACACTGACTATTCATGACCACCAGGTCCCTGTGTCGCAGCTGCTGGGGGGGCTGAGGGGCTGGGGGACGGGTTGCACCTGGTGTTTCTAAATCCCCAGTTTAGGGTATTTGGTCCGTCGGAACAGAGTCTCTCTCTGTCTCTGTGTCTCCGTCTCCCCCTTTCGTCTCTGTCTCTGTCTCTGTGTCTCCGTCTCCCCCTTTCGTCTCTGTCTCTCTGTTTCATATGTCTCTCTTTGCCTGTCTCTCTGTCTCCCTGTGTCTGTCTGTCCCCCACACATGCTCTGGGCCCCGTGCCGTGTCAGGCTTCCTCCTGCATCAGACACACAGCCTGACTCCAGCTGCACATGTGCTCTGGCCGCAGCAAAGGCCTGCCAGGGACCAAGGGGGCCGAGGGTTGCGCCCACCCTGGCAGACCCCGCCCTGCCGCCTGAACAGCGCCTGACGGGACACACACAGTCTTGCAGGTCAACCCGGAAGGTTCTCGCTGGAGGGAGGGGAGCGAAGCCCTTTGCAAACCCAGCGCTCAGAAGCGAGAGTCTGTTGCATGTAACGATGCAGGGGAAACGGTGCATCGACTCAAGGCAATCCCTTCCCAGAAAAAGCCTCTGTCAGGAGCTGGGACCAGCCAGCCGCCCCCACGCCACCCCCTGCACGAGCCGGCCGTCCACGGCCTCCAGGCAGCACCCAGGCGTCAAGGAGGCAGACACTCAGCTGTTCCCAAACCAGTGCCCGCGATCCCCGGCCAGAGACCCCTCACCCCCAGTCCTTCAGCAGGACAGACGGGCCGTGAGCAGGGACGCCAGGGTTACACTACCTGAAACAGGCGATCCGCCTTCATCCCCGCAGCCCCGCGGGCCTGCTCCGCTCCGTCCCGGGCGGCCAGGTCCAAGTGAGTGAAGAGGTCCCAGACGTGACTGTCATTGTACACGGCGAGGCCGTGGAGAGAGTGTGCGCCGTCGGAGACCAGGTGCAGGTCTGCCGCCTCCGTGTTGCTGTAACCTGAAAAGACGGGGCGTCCTGTGGCCTCCTGACGGGGACGCCTGAGCTCACCTGACGTCGGAAATGGGAGGGGAGCAACTGCCCAGCGTCACCCGGACATCACCGTGAACACCATCTATCTGACTAGTGCCAACTATACGCCCGGGGGCAGCTCCCTGGGGAGATGGCCCATCGATGACACAAAGAGGGCGCTCTTCCCAGAGGCAATCCGGCCAAGGCCTGTGGGATGGTCAGTTGGCCCAGCTACAGCCCCCACGGGTTCAGTCAGACACCAGGCTAGGTGTCCCCACCGGGGGGTGTGGGTGAGGGTTCGTCAACGTGGTTGGCACCTGCAGACTGTGGGTAAAGGAGGTGACCCCAGGTAGTGTGGGTGGGCCTCGTCCGATCAGTTGAAGGCCCTCACAGCAGAGACGGGGTCCTGCGTCAAGGCTGCCGCCGGGGCACCGGCTGAGGTTCCGGCCTCTGGTTTCAGACGCGCCAGCTCCGCAGTGGCACAGATGACAATTTCTCGCAACAAATCCAGTCCAAACCCGGTAGGTTCTGCTTCTCCGGAGAGCCCTGATGGGTGCCCCTCCATGCACTTCACGCCCACAGGGGCTCGTCATTAGGGCTGGCACCCCTGGGGGCCCTTCCGGGAGGCCACCACCTACAGACTCGGAGGCTGGAGGTCAAGGGGACCCCGCTGGACCCCCTCTGCATCCACAAAAGATGGAAAGCACAGGACGGTGCCGATTCTAACAATGAAGTGTCCTTCCTTCTGACACTGGGGTCTCCGACAGCAGCAGCACCCCCACCTCCCTCCGTGAGGACGAGCAGGGACAGCTTCCAGGCCAGGCGGGGGCCGTGCGGGGAGGGAGGGCATCGGCCACAACCAGCTCCGGGATGTTCCCCAGGCCCCGGGGACTGGAAGTCTGGGCGTGGGCGCCCCTCTGCACGTTCAGTCATTATTTTTCAGTCGAGGAGAATGTTGCTAAAATGCGCTGGCCGGGGAGGAAGCCCCTTTACCCCAAACCCTAAGCACGTATACATATGCTTCTTGTATGAAGGGCAGCTTTGGGGGGCCTCTACCAGCACCCCGCTTTCCTTAGCACAGAAGCAAAGCTGTCTCTCCCGCTCTGGGGTCTTCAGAGCCCGTGAACCTGTCCATCTGCTCAGGGACCACCCACAGCACCCGAGAGCTCCGAGAGCCCGCTCAAGAGTTCCGTGCGACTCAGGGAACGCACAGTGTCTCCCTCCATCTGTCCGCTTTCCCCACCTGTCCTCTACTTCTGTCTGTCTGTCTTTGTATCCATCTATCCATCCATCCACCCACCCACTTAACCGTCCATCAACCCATCCACTCACCCACCACCCATCCATCCATCCATCCACTCACCCATCCATCCACCCACCCACTTAACCGTCCATCAACCCATCCACTCACCCATCCATCCACCCACCCATCCATCCATCCATCCACCCACCCACCCATCTATTCATCCATCCATCATCTACCATCCCTATTATCAGTCTGTATCTATCCATCCATTTGCCCCATCTGTCTGTCCAGACAAATAAGGAAGAGGACACAGCTATCTCCTTTGCACACACGTATGTACCTACCAGTTGTGTCCTTGCAGAACCCGGACTGACACCGCCCCCTGAGCCCAGGGCCTGTAGAGAAATCTCTCTCCACACACACACACACACACAGGCACACGCACACACACACAGCCGTCTGTGTCCATCCTCTGCTTGTCACCTTCTAGGGGAAAGCCACGCTCCTGGGGCAGAGGGACAGACAGTCTGCCCTCCCGGCCTGCACCCGGAGGCCACCGCCCCTCGGTGCCTTGGGTCCACCTGCAGAGATGCCTGGCCAGGCCCCTCCAGGAGGTCCCCTCACCTGCATCCGTCTTGTGCAGTAAGCCCAGGGCCGCGCAGGCTTCCAGCAGCCGCCCGGTCCCGCGCACGGAGGCGTTGATCTTGCGGGCGATATCCACGGCCTTCAGGGGCCCCTGGTCTCTCAACACGTCAAACACGTTGAGCTTGCATGCCGTGAACAGCGCCTGTCCGTGAGCAAGGACTACAGTCAGATGTGTGGCGTGACTCACCGGGTACGCTTCCCTGCCACGGACTCAGGAGCGGGCGGTGAGCGCTGTCCCCAGCCTGGCCCTCGTGGACCGAATCGTCGTCTGCAGAGCACAGTGGTGCGGGCTGCGGCCTGCACAGGGTTGGCTCAAGGTGGGACCAAAGTGATGACTACTGAGCTGAGGGCTGGAACACAAACCCTGCTGTCACGGGCGGCGTGGGGTCTGTGTCCCCAGGATTCCTGTGCTGAGGCCCCGAATGCCAGGACCTCAGCATGAGACCGTGTGTGGGGACAGGGCCTCTTCCGGGGCATGGATTCTCCACGCTGCCCTCGCGTGACACCTGTAACCTCGTAACGCAGGAACCTGCCATGACAGGTGAGGCCGTCTGGGAAAGGGCCCGACCGGAGCTGCATCGACAACGACCGTGACCGGCCTGCTGGGGGTGACACGTGCTCCTAGGCCCCCGACAGCCCCCGGCCTGGGCGGCACGCCCGGACATTGGGAGAGCTTGCTAAGCAGAGCTCGGTCCTAGCCGGGTGGATGCACAGATGCGTGGACAGCAGATGCCCACACAGATGATAAAAGAGGGAGATGTAGCTACACGTGACGGACAGACAGACAGATGAATGCGTGAGAGGGTGGATGGACAGAAGATGAGAGATAAATGATCACGTAGAAATGGAGACACAGGTGACACACAGAGATGCAGATGACGGATGGATGGACAGACAGATGGACACAGTGATGGTAACAGAGAAGCAGGGACAGGGGACGGATTCAGGAGATGACAGACAAATGGCTGATGGACAGACGGATGACAGACAGACAGAGGGAGACACAAATGACAGAGACGGATGGATGAAGGGATGGAGACGAGAGAGGTGCTAATAATAACAGACGGATATAGACATGGTTAGTACGGACGACAGACGGGTAGGCGGACGGATGGGTAGACATATAACACCCACGCAGACTGACGGTAACAACGTACATACGCTGACAACACACACAGCTGACAGACAGATACAGATAGATACACGATCGCTAAATACGCAGACAGATGGATACAAGACAGATCAATAATGACAGAGACGCTGGATACAGCCAAGAGATGACAGACAGACAAACAACTGACAGATCTGTAGACAGATAAAAGAAATGGAGGCATGAACGGATGGACCGCAGACAGATACAGGTAGGGGACAGATATTAAGAGGGATGGAAGACACAGATTACAGATTCATGGGTGGACAGGTGACAGGTGCATAGACAGGTAGCAACAGTATATACCGACCAACGACAGACGTGTATGTCGGGTACATGGATGCACGGATGGACACAGAGTGATGATAACAGAGAAGCAGGTGATGGATGCAGGACATGATAGGTGAGTAGCTGACGGACAGACAGAGGGACAGACAGACAAATGACCTCAGACGTCCAGTCTCCAGGACGGGGGACGATGAATTCCTGTGGCTCTCAGCCCCCATCTTGGGGTCCCGTGTTCCAGCCCCCTTTCCCCACCCCGACACTTACACGTACCTTTGATGCTTTGAAGCCCTCCAT